TTGTTTTGCAGTACAACAACATCACCACCATCACGGACGACACGTTCTGCAAGTCCAACAACACGCGGTACATCCGCACGCGGATGGACGAGATCAGGATGGAAGGGAATCCCATTGTCCTGGCAAAGCACGTCAACGCCTTCTCCTGCCTGAGAATGCTGCCCGTGGGCACGTACTACTAACCCTGCTTCTGTCACTGCACAGGCCAGAACTCAGCCATGGTAACAAAGGATCGGTTCTTCCTCTGTTTACAAGCTCGTATCCTCTCCCTCACTAATGCTGTTTTCCCTGAATATCCAGAACCTTCTCCGACGTTGAAGTGTGGTTCTGCTCTGAAATAACTACTCCTAAACAGTCACTTTATTCAGTAGTTGTGGTGTCACTGCTTTCAGAATCTTTTCTGTTAATGAAAGTGTAAAAACACATATATGCACACACATCTCAACCTTCACTTCATCACGTACTCTTTTCGTGTAGGTAAAATCACACAGTAACTGCTGGTTCACATTCTTTGCCAGTACTCAGAACAACCACCACATTTTACTTTCAGAAAAATGCAGCACGCTCTTAGAGCAAGCTACACAGGCAAAATACTTCTTTTAATTCCAGTGCCACTCTTTTAATCTGAAATGAAATCTCTTCAGTTGCCCTTCAAAAGTGTATTGGATAAAGATGCACATGAAAGAAAGTTATGTTTAGAAACAGAACTTCTCAAAGGTTAATTTCATTAAAGTTTCCTTAAAAACTTGGTTTGTGGAAAATAAGAATAGTTCCTATTAAGGTTTAGTTCACCAAGCAATATAGCAACTGGAACTTTTCAAGGTTGTGTTAAATCTCCTTCTACTGTTTTTGCTTTGAAAATCATCTGAGAATGTGTATGTATAAAAATACAGGTTTTATTTTTACACAGGGCAGTTTTAAGTGAAATATATAAGTTTCACTGAGCTGTACTCCCAAGAGCTGTTTTTGCAACACCAGTTTCCCATTTTAACACAATGGTCAAAGTCCAGCATCGTATGACTATTAATTATGACTAAAGCTATTAATGAATGATGGAGACCAAGCCTTGTTCCACAGCTTTTCTTAAAGGAAATGTGACAATATAATTAACAGCAAGCTGAATTCATGTTTTTTACCTGTAAATAAGTATGATTTCAGCTAGATGTCAGTAAGAAGAAGAAGAATTACCCTTGTACAACAATACTTCTGCTCATTAGGGAAAAATTAAATCAGACTTTCAAATTAAAAAGAGAAGGTGATTCTATCACTAATCTAAAAAAAAGTTAACTTTAAGCACCATTTCACTCAACTACTTTAAACCATGCAGTGTATTAAAAACACAAAGTGAGTGTGCAGGCCTTGACAGTCAGTTTATCTAAAACTAGACATAACTGATATAGGAACACAATATTTTTTATTACACAACTATAAACTTCTGACATTGTTTCTCCCCTCAGATACCTACCACAGGTGTGAATGCCAAAGGTGTGCTAGTTCCTATTGCCACATCAACTCTAAGTTTGAAGCTAGTATAGATTCCTAATTTGTAGAAATAGTTAAGCATCAAATGCATGATGATGTATCAGTACATCTAGAATATTGATTGTACAAGATATTTTGTATTAGTTTTATTTATCTTATTTAGCTAAGCCTTGATTTGTTAGTGCTTGTGCTCTGGGGAATTGATACCCACTTAATTCTGAACACACTCATGTTCTGTCACTCAGTGCTGAGGCCTAAGAGACTTTCAGCCAGTTTTTAAGTAACTTTGTCAAGCGTCAGCTGTGGGCTCATCTTTCTGGAAAGAGGATGCAACCACGAAATGCAGCACAAAAATATTTTTGCCCTGAACCCACCACCCAAGAAAGACACAGCAATCCCCAGTATTTTGCATTTTAAGTTACTTGGTATAACAAGAAATTCCATTGCCTTAATACAACTGAGACCAAAACTGAAGTCCGACAGTAATACTTGGTTTTCATTTTTCCGAGCAAGTTATAAAACTTTGATGTTTCCAGGTTTTTAGCAAAAGCTTAAAAATAACTCCAAAGCATGTAAAAACACATTCCAATTTCAAGCCAAATTTATACGAGGAAAAAACAAAAGCCACCAATTCTCTCATCCCTCTTACGATAAAAGCTTAAGATGGAGAAAACACAGCTGGGTGTTTCCTCTAAGTTACATAAGTAGTGGCCTCTGATCTTTTTCTCATCACAAATCATTATAACTAAGGAAAAAAAAAAAAGCTCTTTCCAGTATTAGTAGGATCAGTAAATATCACCAAAACTCTCCCTATGAAAACAATTATAAGTGTACACATAAAAACAAGCAGAGTTTTGTAATATACACACAAGTAAACATTCTGAGACCCAACACTGCCACATTTGACATCAAAATGTTGTATATATTTTTGAAACGTGCTAATTATCACCAGTAATGCTAATTAATACTCTTAATACTTTGTAAGCAAATGAAAGCACACAACTGGTACCTTCTGAATGCCTCATGAAGGCAATAAGTTATCTGATGTGTTTTAATTTCCTTTCCCCATCCATAGCAGGGTAAATAATCAAAACCAGAAGTGAGAAGGGCTTCAGCAGGGAGGATTTTCACCTTCTATTTGTGTGACCAGTACTAATATCAAGCTGAATGTATCAAGCTGAATGTAAACCATTCTATTTTTTTCCTATCACTCATTTCTGTTCTGTATTTCCAATAAAACTTGAATTTTTTTTTCTTGTTTATCAGTATCAGCTTCAACAATCTGCTCTCCCAGCATTGCCAACCTGTTTCAGTTGTTCATCCTCACAGCAGATGAAGATCAGAAAATTATTTGCAGCTGTAACTCCATTTGCAGACATAATATTTATTGTGACAATACAGTGAGACCTGCCATACAAAATACTCGGGGGACACTTCATTTACCCCTTCAAAATCTATTTGAAGCACTACCTTGAATTGTCATTCATCTCAAACATTCAGTATTATCTGAAGTATTCAATCACTTCTACATTATTGATGTCTTTTCAAGTATGAAAACTAAACAGGAAAGAAAAAATTTGGTGTTTTTACACCAAAAGTAAAGTATCAGAAACTGTCTATTTCTACTTGGCAGCCTGGGCAATTTTCTTTTAAATCTTAGAAAAGCTATAAACCCAAGACTCCACCCCAAAGAGTCTCTCCAATGCAGTGTACAGTTACCTACCTGTATATTTGCAGTAGAGAGAGCAGGTGAGGGGGGAAGGGAAAAAAAAAAATCAATACAAAGATTACAGACTCATTTTTAATGTTGTGTGAGTGTGAACATTAACAGGATAAGACTTTTCAGTTGTTTTTATGCATATGGTAAAACCATACCTCTAATTGCTTTCACACACAAATTATTACAGAATATTAAGTTAGAAACACGCATTCTCCTTTGCAATCTGGTTATTTGAATTGTCAGAGTTGATCTTTGAAGCCTTTATTAATTCTCTTACCTGAGAATGTCTTCTGTTTCTAAATGAAATGATTACTAATGCTAGCAGAAATAAGAAGGCCTAAAAAAACCCTCTTCATAAACACTTAGTCAGTCATACTTGGTAAATATTCTCCCAAATTGCCTTTCTCAACAGCATCCTTGTCCATGGAAATAAAAATACCTTTAGAAAGAACATCTGCAATATTGACAAACTTGTAATATGTCTTCAGCAAATTTATGTTCACACATCTTTTAGCAATTAATAGATCCCTTCATTATTTACACTCAACATCTGAATAAATATTTTTAAGACTGCTTATATACATAACAATTTTCTGTGAGTAAAAATTATCTCCAGACCTACCTCCTTTCTATTTCTGCTTTTTTAAAATTATATTTTAAAATGAGAAATATTTCCAGTAGTTTACTGAATCCCAGAAACCACAGTGACTGCTGTCATGAGGCTCATCTAAGGATCAAAAAGCATCAAGTGAAGCTTGAAAAAAAACAAATCACAAAGCCATAAAGCCCTTGGTGCTCTATCTTTTCTATGGAGAGATTAAAGAAAAGCCTTTATTCAACAGCCAGCAGGATTAGACAATATCAGTTTATTGCTCAGCTGAGGGTAGGATTATTTTTTAACATTATCAGAAAATAGTACTTTTTTTTCTCTATTCTGGTTGATTTGATAATAGAAATGGATTAACTTGGCACAGAACTCAAAGGCCTAAAACATTCAAAAAATAGGAAACAACGCAGTTGCCACTTCATATTCCAGCTGAAAAGTAAAGATGGAACTGGGTTCAATGAGAGTAAATGCTTGAGGTGAAGAAAAACTGAACTAAAAAACCACAAATAATTAAGCCCATAAACATCCTCCTCTAACATTAAGCACCGTGTAAGATGTTTTGTCTGTCAGACTGACGTATTTTTACTCCAAGGATTAATTGTTTATCTTAAAACCAGTACAAAGCCAAAACAAACAAAGCAAATGCTGGCAATTTAAAACTAAGTTCAAATACTATGTTCCAGTTAGGAGGGAGCAACAGTTTATCTCCCATACAAGTAAAACAGTTCAGAACTCAAAGCACTGTTGTCCAAACACAGGCTGCCACATCTTCAAGAGAAACAGATCCAGCCCTTCAAAACCAATGTTTACATGCCAAAGACTACAAATGTTATTTTCTTTTCATTTCTTCTTTTGCTCCTTTTTTTTTTAAAATCAAAATAAGATTTAATACCAATGAAAACTGTCTTACTCCCTCACAGAAAGGCACAGGCATTCTTATTTTTCCCCACCCACGAGGAACACAGCAATAGTATGACAACAATCAAGAGGAAAAACCAAGCAAAGGCATTGCCCCTTGAACACAAAATTTTTTTTAGCTAATAGTCTCTTCTCCACAACATACAAATTTAAGTAGCCCATATTCTGCTAAAGAGTGCAAGATTCACCTCCAATGCTTTGTCTTAATGAACTACTTAAAGAAACAAATATAGTACTAATAAATAATAATAAATAAAGGCTTGATAACACTACCTTGAAGTGCAGGAAGGTGCGTCTGCGATGCTCAAACCACTCAGCATAATTTGAAAGGCTTCTGAAAAACGTTGCAAGATTTCCATGTTCTTCAATGCTACAAAACAAAAATATATTGTTTAACCCAGTCTTAATCAGATGTATCAATTCTATAGCCTAAAATTTGCACCTTGTCTTTTCCAGTATCCCATGTAACCCTGCCCTCTGGCAGTGGGAAGCCATTCTCACTTGCCCTGTCATTCCAGACCCTTGTCCAAAGTCCCTCTCCAGCTCTCCTGGAGCCCCTTTAGGCACTGGAAGGGTCCCCAAGATCTCCCTGGAGCCTTCTCTTCTCCAGGTGAACCCCCCCAGCTCTCCCTGCCTGGTTCCACAGCAGAGGGGCTCCAGCCCTCAGGGTATTTTCATGGTACTCCTCTGGATACACTCCAACAGGTCCATGTCCTTCTTACGTTGTAGGAAGAGGGAAAAAGGGAGAATTAAATACAAACCACTTATTTTTCAATACTTATTTTTTCAAATTTCTGTTAATGTATGGATCAGGATGGAGAAAGAAAAGAGACAATATAAGGTGACAGGAACTGTCAGACAGCCAACCATCCATCCAGTGTTGTCAGGGGAAGGAGGAATAACACTCAAAGTGTGTGCAGTTCTTACTGAAGAAGTGTGGCAAGGATGCAAAGGATACAAAATTCCACAAAAACTACCTGTCAGAATACCTGCAGCAACACGATTATTTAACCACAAGGGTGAACAGCTGCATGTCAGTGCTGATATCAAGCCACAGTCAAATGCAGCAGACTATTAACCACTGTCAAAACACACCTGGCAAGCACTGCTTGGAAAATAAAGATTTATTTCGATTTCTAATACAGGATTTGACAAGTTTACAAAACCTGACTGAGGAAAATACCTGACTGACATCTGGGAATATTTCAAGAAGTTACACAGTATTTAAATTCTAAATGTAAATTTGTCTTTTAACATCTTTTCTGCTTGAGATTAGCTATTCTTTATTTCAGAATAGCTGAGAGCAGAAACTTGAGGCATTCATAGGATGACTGCAACAGTCACTTCAGCCATTCCAGGGAGAACTGTGCCTCAGATCCAGCTCTAATATACAGGAACAGCAACCTTTAACATGTTACACAAACATACTGAAAAATGAGACATTGGGGTCATTCAGATATTGAAAATGCAAAAGAAAAGCCAAACAAGTTTTGTCCCAGCTTGGAAAGAACAGCATCAGCAAAGGAAGTTACCACAGTAGTCACAGCTGCCAACAAAACCAGGCCAAGATGAAAAAAACGCTGGCAACGCTGGGAAAACTGAGTCCCTGGAGGGACAGACACACTGGCTCACAGGAGCTCATTAGCTCTGTTCTGGGAAGCTGTTTTTTACCACAACTCACAATTGCACATGTCAAACTCTACACATGCCACAGGAACAAGGGAGACCTGGCACTGACTGCCCACCTCTCCCTGCCTGGGGACACAATTCCACATGAACTGCACCGAGCTTTTCAAACCTACACCTGCCACACAAAACTGGGCTACAAAACTACAGCCTTAAAATGCTTTTTAAAAAACCTGGCAATTTTTATGAATATCCATTTTTATGCAATTCAACAGACTATCATAAACCTCGTGACTTCATTTTAGCATTATGACTTTGTTTCTTTTTTCCTCTCAATTTCATTTTTAGGTGATGAAGCAGGTGAAAGTTTTCAAGCAGAAAGCACTAGTTTTGGCTAACAAGCTCAAAGAACCTGTTTCAAAGGTAAAAGTTAGTCAACCAGTTATATCTGAGTAGGTACTTGTCTCATATAGCATTGGCTAAATTCAAGATTGTAACTGAATTCAGTATCTAGAAAGGGAAAATCTGTGTTGGCATGAACAGACATGTAAATCCATGGGGTTTTTAAACTGGGAAGGGAGAAAGGGACTGCAAAGAGCACCAGTTCAGTTAACTGCCTCCCAGCACTTAAACTGCCCATAAACAATAATTCCTAATTAGCCTAAGTTAGCCTAATTTCTCATGCTGAATTCAACTACAATAAATGCTAAATACCAAGAAAATGTGGTATAAAATAATAAAGTGCTAATAGAATGAATGTTAAAGACTTTTTTCCCCAAGGAATTTAGCATTACAAAGTGTCATCAGATTTTAAAAAAATTCAGTAGGAGCAGAAAACACCCATTTCCAACACCAACATCCATGTTACAGAGAAGTCATCCAAAACCACCTAAAAGTATATTCAGGCAGAGTCCCTGTATCAGTTTAAAATCACAGGCCCTTCCTCCAAACACCCTTTCACTTTCACAAAGTATCACCAACAAAACACAAAAGCACACAAGACATTTAACTGTTCTAAAAGTATTTAAGCCTCCTTTAATATGTCCCTTCAACTATTTTAAGAGAGGAAATCTATTTTAACCTGCTGAAGAATGCAAGACTTCCTACATCAACATATGAAACCAAAGCACGACTCAAAGCTGTGGGAAGAATTCCTGCTTCCCTTTATTTCCCAGATACCTTGCCCATGCAGCATTTAATATAATGCAGACATTTCCCAAATCCTTCACTCTGACTTAGGTTCTAACTAAAAAGTAGGAGCAGTTTTCATAGTGCCTAAAAAGCCCTATTTGACTAATGAATCCATGCAAAGGTTAACTCACCCAACAATTAATGGGGTGCCAAGTCCAAAAAAATAGGAAAGAATGACCAACAATACTTTTCTTACATATTGTAGTTCTCAAAAATAAAGTAAATAACGTAAGTGATAACTGGTGAAAGGGGACACAAGTAAAATCCAAAAATAGACAACCAGATATTGTGATTCCATTTGCATACATCTCTTATTACCACAAAAATTTTTAAGAAATTATATAAAAAATAGAAGATGTGTCATTTTTATATATAGATGTACTGTTTATACCTGGTTGAAATCAGACTGCTGAATTTTGCTTCCTTTAAGAAGTGTTCTAGCATTCCCCTGTTTTCTTCCAAAGCAGGAAGGGCCTGGGAATTACAACTGAATGCCAAGTTTTTAACTCTGGTGCTCTTAAAGACCCGTTTCTCTCATGCATTATGAGAAAAAATGAAGCCAAAAAAAATTATAAAACTGAGAAGGAAAAAAATCCAGGCCAGGAGACAGAACAGAACAGAGCTAGACAATGGATTTGGCAAGACAGGGCTGAGGAAGCATAAGAAGAAAACAAAGTGGGAGGGAGGCTGAAAAGAAGGAACAATACAGAGGGAGACCAGATTTAGCTGGTCAAGAATGGAGGGAAAGGGAGGGAAGAGGTAGGAATCAGGATTCTAAGAGGCTGGAGAACAAAGGGCGAGCTGGGAAAAGCCTGAAACTGGACATGAGGGGATTACAACTGAAACAAGAACAAGCAAGGAGAGTGGGAAAACAGCTATAAAGGGAGATGCCAGGCAGAACCAGCCCATGGAACAGTGGGTTGCTGTCAAAGCAGGCCCTGTCAGCATCAGCCCCACCTATTTACTGCCTTAGGTTGGCAACAGACACTGTGACGTTGCAGGACAAGTCAAACAGGAAAACTGAGAGTTGAAGGAGTTGTGGGGGGACAAGGTTGGGTCACTCCCCACCCTCCAGCTCCTTTTTCAACCAAGTGACCCCGTTGATCCCGTTGGCCACGTGGCTTCAAGAGTCGACAGACACAAGGTCAAGAGATGGGATGTGCAAGGAGAGGCTCAGGAGAAAGCACTGCTTGATTTACTGACATCTTTTACCATTCCTGGAAACTTGTGTGCCCTCATGAATGCTGGTGCAATGTGGAAAAGGACCAGTGAAGAGACAGGGACAAGACAGCAGAGCTCCAGCCAGGATGAAGTAAAGTCTGCCACCACTTCAACACATTCCTTCCCAGCGTGACTGTTAAGTTCCAATACACTTCTGCTGTCACAAAAAACTCATAAATAAATCAGGGCAATTTCCTCTTCTAAATCCCTGAGAGCAGTCAGCTACTCTTCTCAGTTATACCACTACCTTTAGTAGGTTTATATGGAAATTTCCAAGTCTCTGAGTAAAAAAAAAAAATCACTTTTCAGAACAGACTACTGAAGCCTGAGGTAACTCAACAGACCTTTCTCTTCACTCTTTTGGCCTTCCCTCTCCCTCCTCAAAAAATAACATAAAACAAAAGAAATCACTTAAAGAACAGGATGAAGTCAATTAGCCAGTAATAATAGATCTGTTCCCAGAAGAGCTTGCTAGCAGAATTCAGTGGAATACTGCACACAAGTAATTTGATCATTACTCCATGTTACCACAAGAAGTTGATATACTCCAGAAAATAATTAAAAAATAACATTCATTCATAAGCTTAAGTTTTAGTATGTAAATTTTCTTAAGCCATTGCACAAATACTCCATTCCAGGTTTTTAAACTACATTCTATTGTTTTCAAATATCAGTGAAATAAATCCTGATGCAAAGAGAAATGGACTGGTGAGCTGAGAGAACCAGAAACAGGCAAATACTAGAGAGGGGTTCTGGATGTGCACTTTATTACTCAGCCACACTGCACATCTGCAGCTCACAGACACATCTGAGTAACAGCTCACATACATTAAAATGCAATAGCTGAGATTACATTGTTATACCTTTCCCTGAACCAAACAATTTCAAACAGCTATAAAACATATTATAATCCAAAACCTCTTTCTGTTTAATATGAATTTAAAATCTTTCCAGGCCTTACAAATTATATGCATTTCATCTTCTCTCCAGGATACAGACAAGGGACTGGAAGGGTTCAGGCTGGGCTAAGGGTACACGGCATAGCAAAGACACAAATTTACAGGAAAACTCAGTACTGCATTTAATATCCCACACAAGGACTTCCCTTGAGCAAACAATTCCAGCTTACCTTGACACAAACTTGCTCATACCAGAATCTTCTCCAGATTCCATTATGATGTTGAGATCACTAATAACAGAAGACACCTTCTCTTTGCTCTAAGTCGGAGAAGTAACAACACAGTATTTTAGAAATTCCTCTAGCAAGGAGAAAAATATATGTCCCTTTGCATATAAAATAGAAGTATTTGCATATACTTCTTTCTAACTGCTATAATTCTTAAAATAGCATTTTTTTTAACTACAGCTTGTATGTGTGGACAGTTTCCTTCATTTCAACAGTAGTAGTATTATCCACACAACAAGGCTTTTGGAATAACACCTGAACTTTTCAGCATAAAGAATATATATGTATAAAAGAATGTTCATCTACTTCCTTTCACGTCAAGTCCACTTCTTTAAGATTCTTCTCATTTTCCAACACAACCCCTAGCTGCCACATATAACAGAAAAATCAAATATAAGGTCTGATCTGTCAGTTTTCCTTTGTATTATTTTATTTTAAAGCCTATAGTTTTGCCTCAAATTCCTGTCCCTTTTTACAATAATAACTGATACTTAGGAATGTGTGCATGATAATAAAACCAAAATTAATCTAAATTAAAATATCTAACAACCTGTTAAAAAGGAGAAAAGAAAGTCAGAGGGTAGAAATAAAGCCACAAATGAAGTCAATGCTGGTTTTCTGTGCATTCTGGGACACACCAGAGTAATGGATTAGATAACTGAATGAAAAAGCTTAAAATCAGGGTTTGAGGAACACAGCAAATGCTTCACTTGAAACTGGAGACTTGGTACTTTATTTTTCTTATACCCAGTCACTACAAGCAAATGGGAATGGCAACAGAGGAAACAAGTCAAGCTGGAGTTAAATGCACAGAGATCTCAGCAATCTGCACTGGCTGGACAGCAGTGCTGCCAACACTGCCAGCACTAAAGATGGGAAAAGCAAACCAAGGCACTACAAAGATTAGTGGATTGACTAAGTAACACCAGGAAAAGTCATTTTAGGGTTAGAGCAGAAGGTTCAGCACGTGCACGGAGTGGCAGAGAAGCTGCCAGCAGCCACCAGCTGATGTGCTGCCTTCGGGAGGAACTGGATTCCCAAGGAGTGGGTCACTAACACACCAAAATGCCACCTTGGGGCCAAACAAAAAGGTTTAAAAGGAAAGCTCTTGCCAAGAAAGCAACTCTTCTTGAATGATTGCTTTCTCAAGAGGCTTACACTTGTTCTGGCACATTTTCAAGCTCATTGTACGTGTCTTCTCCTAATCCTATGGAGCTGAGTTAACTGTATTGTAACTTCACTACCAGAACAAACAGCTACAGTTAACAGTGTGAAAAAAACTGTACTTGACCTTCTGCTGCAAACCAAGGTATCTGTTACCTGCTGGGCACTTCCCAAAACCAGCTGTCACCTTCTGTTTCTCATCACAGGTAACAACTGAGCACTACCTTGCCCGTGCTGATGTCAGGGCAGGTTATCCTGAACACCATGTTAATGCCATCTCTTACAAAACAGGCTTCTTTTATATGCAAGAAGCCAGAGGTACAAAAAAATTAAAGTTGAACTACCAGGTCTTAATCTGGTCTGAAGTCACAGTTTTCCCGAAAGTTATGGGGGTGGACTCCTGCATCCTCAGGATGTCCTGACTTCACTGCAGGGTGACCTGCACAGTGTATGAAGGCTGTGGCACAACCACGATGCCATTCCTTTTACACCACGGGAACAGCCAGCTGGAACTAGGCAATATCTCTGACTGCAGTTGTCAGCACTCTAGTCATGAGATAAGCTTTTGCACTATGAAGAAATGGAAAAAAGTAATTTTTTATCATATAAATTACAAAAAGGCATCCTTAAGCTTAAATTTTTAAATTCTATCAGAATCTATTTGGTTTAAGGAGTCCTAACCAAATGAAAATACAGAATTGGGCACAATGGTAGTCTTTTGCAACTCTAAGCAAACCATTCTGTTATAATTTGTTCAACAGCTAAAACACATTATGATAGAATCTCAGAATAGTTTGGGTTGGAAGAGACCTGAAAGATCATCTGGTTCCAACACCCTGCTGTGGGCAGGGACACCTTCCACTAGTCCAGGCTGCTCCAAGCCCTGTCCAACCTGGCCTTGGACACTTCCAGGGATGGAGCAGCCACAGCCTCTCTGGGCAACCTGTGCCAGTATAATTAAGTCAATGCAAAAACTTCCATCACATTCAAGTTCATCTGCAATCACAAAAACTCAAATGAAGGGACAGAAATTACTCTGTTTGAAACAATAAATGCCTTTCTTGACTTGGCTACATAACACCAAAAATAAACCCCAAAACTTGTGTATTGTGGCCCAGTTAAAAACTGTACTCTTCACTGGTGCCTGCTGAAGCAATTTACCATTTTCCACAACATTTCCATCACCCACACCACACAAATGCACAAAATAGTGGCAATCCAAACTTCAGATAAACTGATACAATGTAATATGCAATGCAGATGGTGTAAGTTAGAGATGGCCATGTACTTGTATAAGAGAAAAACAATGCATCAAAAAATTAACTCAAAATTATACTTTTTCAAGTGGGTTTTAAAAAAATATCTATACACCTGGTATTCCCTGTCTCCCTCTGGTGATCTCAGCGCTCAAGTAGCCCCGACTGCAGGCATTAGGCAGCCAAGTGCTGCCACACGGTGGTGCAACGGCTTTAAGCATCACCAACGCTGTTATCAGTAAATTTAACACCCCGTTCCTCGTCTGAGCTCCACTGACACCACAAGATGTTATCGTCCTGCAGGAGATGCAGCTGAGAGAGGAACAAACATCTCACCGGGCTTCATGACTGGTGCAGGATGTTTCTATGCTCAAAGCTAAGTTTTATACAAGCAAATGGTAAAGTGGCATCTCAAGGACTGCAAGTTTCAAGTCACACATGGACTTCAGAGGTTGAAGAACAACCTCTGTCAGCTGA